CCACCTACTTTGGGAAGGCTGGGGTGGAAGGATCGCTGGAGCCCAGCGGGTCGAGGCTGCGGTGGCCGGGAGCGGCCACTGCACTCCAGTCTGGGTGACAGAGTGAGACTCCAACTCAAAAAAAAAAAAAAAGAAAAAAAAAGCTGTTGTACTGTAAGTTTGATGTCAAAAAAAAGAACAAATTATTCACTATAATATATCACACAAAAATGGAGCTGAATAATCCCTGAGACAGCTGAGCAGTGAAAAGAAACCATAGGCTCAGTGCACTTTGATGTTGGCCAATTTTTTAAATAAAAACTTTATTAATATATCATTTATATGACATATAATTCACCTATTTTAAGTGGAAAATTCAATGGCATTTAGTATATTCACAAAGCTGTGCAATCATCACTTGCCAAAAAAACACTATACTGCTAGTTATCACTCATTTTTCCCCACCTAAACCCCTGGGTCCTAAGTAAGCACTAATCTACTTTCTGTCTCTATGGATTTGCCTATTACAGACATTTCATAAAATGGAAACATACATTATGTGCTCTTCTGTGAATGGTTTTTTTCAACATGAATGGTTTTGAAGATTCACCCATGTTATAACATGGATGAGTATTTCATTCCTTTTTATTATCAAGCAATACTCTACTGCATGCAAACGCCACATTTTGTTTATGACCAGGTGATGGGAACTTGGATTATTTCCAATTTTTGGCACTTATGGACAATGTTACAAAAAACATTTGTATGCAGGGTTTTGTGTGTATGTGCTTTCAATTCTCCTGAGTTCATTCCTAGAAGTGGAATTACTGAGTCTTACAATAAATGTATGTTTAGCTTGAGGAACTGCCAAACTGGCAGTTTTCCAAAATGGCTCCACTTTCTATACATCCCTGTCAACACTTATTATTGCCTATCTTTTTTATATGACCAATGTTTTTAAAGAGACATAATAAAAATAAATATTAAAACCATTAATATTTAACTGTTTTCTTTTTAAATGTCTTATAGAAATCTGAGATTATACATTACTTCACCTGCCCCCAAATACTGCCTGATTATAAAGAGAAAACAAACCAAAATAACCCCATTAGAAAACATAAGAATTGTGGCGCGCCTGTAATTCCGGCTACTCGGAAGGCTGAGGCTGAAGGATCGCCGGAGCCCAGCAGGTGGAGGCTCCGGTGGCCAGGAGCAGCCACTGCACTCCAGTCTGGGCGACAGAGTGAGACTCCAACTCAAAAAAAAAGAAAACATAAGAATTCTATTTTGCAAGGTAGAAAAGACACAATAAAGCAATCTGTAATTACCAGGACAAATTGCTTGGAATGTTTCCCCTTAAGGCAAAAGCACTTTCTAACAAAGGAGCCAAGTGTAACTAAGCCAACTGATAAATCATGAGAATTAAAGGACCCACTAGTGATAAACATCTCCCAGGGTTGACTTAATGCCAAGTATGTTTAACTTTAGGAACTGCCAAACTGTTTCCCAAAATGACTGCACTACAGTCTCAACTTCTATGAAACTTAAACACTCTTCTCTCTCTGTCTCTCTCTCTCTGTCTCTCTGTATTTTTTTTTCTAAGACAGGATGGCACTGTGTCGCTCAAGCTGGAGTACAGTGGCATGATCCCAGTTCACTGTAGTCTCAACCTCCTGGACTCACACGATTCTCCCCCTAGGCTACAGAGTAGCTGGGACTACAGGTGCGCGCCATCATGCCCAGCTAATTTTCTGATTTTTTTTTGTAGAGACAAGATCTTGCTATGTTGTCCAGGCTGGTCTCAAACTTCTAGGCTCAAGTGATCCTCCTGCCTTGGCCTCCCAAAATGCTGGATTACAGGCATAAGCCACTGTGTCCAACTGTTCTAATTTTTTAGATATTAAAGGCTCAGATCTATCAATAGCAAATAAGATTTAAACATATAAGATAAACTTATGTCTCTGATCATTCCTTTTAGTAGCTCAACTAATTGTCTTCAAAGCATAATTTTATTAATAACAGCAACCAAAGATCTTCTATGTGTCTAACACTGTACTAGGTTCATTTTAACAGTTCACTGAACTATAATAACTACCCTCTCTTAGGGTAGCTCTCTTTCTACCCCCACCCAAACTCCTCAAATTCAAATTTCAGAAATAACTGAATAATATAGTTTAACTGACATCCTTATTATATTTTTAATGCAAATAAAAATATTTTAAGGATATATATTTACATACAACTAAATCTCAAAGATACACAATCATCTGCATATTATATTATTATCTAAATGTTACATAACAGGAAAAGAATTAGCATGACAAAGGATACACAGTTAGTAGGGAGCAGAGGTAAAATTTCAAGTTCATGTTGAGAATAATGAATGTGTACCCGAGGTGGGCTGATAATGGTGGCCACCAAAAAAGATATGTCTACATCCTAATCTCCAGAATCTGCAAATGTTACTTTATTTGGAAAAGAGGTCTTGGCAGATGTAATTAAGAATCTTGGGATGAGAAGATCTTCTTGGATTATCTGAGTGGATCCTAAATTCAATAACAAGTGGTGTCTATAAAAGACACATAAGAGAAGAAGAGATAAATGAAAAGGCAATGTGAAGACAGAGGCAGAGATTGGAATAATGTGTTCACAAGGCAAGTAAATCAGCATCCACCAAAAGCTAGAAAAAGCAAGGAACAGATTTCCCTTAAAATCTTTGTAGGGAGTGTGGACCTGCCAACACCTTCTTTTTAGATTTCTGGCCTTCATAACTGTGGAAGAATAAACTTCTATTGCTTTAAACCACCCAGCTTGTGGTAAATTGCAACCTCAGGAAACTCACCATATCATACCTAAAACTAATAGGTTCTCATAAGATATTTATATACTTGAAATATTTAAATCAAAAGCAATTATTAAAGATTAGACATTCTACATCAAATTACATCTAAAGTTAAAAAAAAAAAGATTTGGCACTCAAATCATCCTGCTTTGAGCTAGTGAAAGCTCCATCAAGTTGTAACTGTCTTTGGGACATAGTTGCAGCAGTCTTTTGACAGTTTTCTTGATATCTGTCACAAAAAGAAGTGCTAAGGAAATCTTGCATAACTTTTTGTCCAGACCTGAATCAGCCACTTAAGAAGTTCTTATGTCTTTTAATTGGAAATGGCATTGAAAGACCATGGTCTGCATAATACAGGTGCTCATTGACACTAGGCTACCACTGGTTCTAGGACTTTCCAGTGGTTGGAACAAGAAAACAAATCTTTTATAAAGAGAAATCGAAATTGCTTAGATACCAAATTCAAATTTAAGTTAACAAAGTTGTCACTTAACTTCTCTGATTTTTAATTACTAGCCTGTTTCTTCTCCCCTAATAATCCTGGTTCCTAATAGCATTACCATAATTATTAATTTACTTAGTATTATAGATCTAGTTTCAAAGAAACCATACCAATCTGATTACTAGAAATAAGACTACTGAAGGCAGAATTTAAGATTTGTGTCTGGCCAGGAATTGTGGCTCATGACTGGAATCCCAGGGCTATCGGAAAGCCAAGGCAGGAAGGAGGATTGCTTGGGACCAGAAGTTCAGGACCAGCTTGGGCCACAAACTGAGAATCCTCTCTCTAAAAAAATGTGTCAAAATTAGCTGATGTGGTGGCATACACCTGTAGTCCCAGATACTTGGGAGGTTAAGGCAGGAGGATCAC